GTGTGTGTGTGGGTATGTGTGTGTACAGGTAAGTGTGTGTGTGTGTGTGTGGGTATGTGTGTGTATAGGTGTGTGTGTGGGTATGTGTGTGTATAGGTGTGTGTGTGGGTGTATAGGTGTGTGTGTGGGTGTGTGTGTATAGGGGTGTGTGTGTGTATAGGTGTGTGTGTGTTTATAGGTGTGTGTGTTTATAGGTGTGTGTGTGGAGAGGTGTGTGTGTGTGTATAGCTGTGTGTGTATAGCTGTGTGTGTGTGTGTATGTATAGGTGTGTGTGCGTATAGCTGTGTGTGTGTGTATAGGTGTGTGTGTATAGGTGTGTGTGTATACAGCTGTGTGTGTGTGTGTATGTATAGGTGTGTGTGCGTATAGCTCTGTGTGTGCGTATAACTCTGTGTGTGTGTATAGGTGTGTGTGTATACAGCTGTGTGTGTGTGTGTGTGTGTGTGTGTGCCTTTTAAAGTCTCTCTCTCTCTTTCTGTGTATGTCTCTCTGTCAGTCACTCGGTCTATCTGAATTTCTACCTGTCTTCATCTCTGCGTCAATCTCTCACTGTCTGTCTCTGTATGCGTGTGTGTCTCTCTCCCTTTCCTTCTCACTCTCTCTCTCTCCCACTTCATATATCACCCTCTTTCTCTCTATCTTGCTCAGTGTCCATCCATCCAAGTATCTCCCTTTTATCAGTCTCTCGATTCCCCTCGATTGGTAACTCCCTATTTTTCGTTCTATCTGTTATTCTCTTGGTAATTCTAATGTGGACATACTTTAATATGTAAATCCGCTTTATCTCAAGGCCAGCTCTGTTTGTAACACGTGGGACCCTCAGCAATGGCTGGGGGCTGGGGCCTGGGGATTGCGGAGGCTGTGTCGCGAGGCAGCTGTTTGAACTGGGGAAGTGGGAGAGAATTTAATCTCAGTTTGATGAGCTGAGCACTCGTCAAGTTAATAAGTTTCATGTCCTGGGGGTTACCATTGACCAGAAACTGGACCAGCTACATAAATGCAGAGATAGTAAGAACTGCTGATGCTGGAGCCAGAGATAACACAATGTGGAGCTGGAGGAACACAGCAGGCCAGGCAGCATCAGAGGAGCAGGAAAGTCTGACGTTTCGGGTCGGGACTCCTCTTCAGAAATTTGGCATTTCTGAAGAAGGGTCCTGACCCAAAACGTCAACTCTCCTGCTTCCTCCGATGCTGCCTGGCCTGCTGTGTTCCTCCAGCTCCACACTGTGTTATCAGCTGCATAAACACAGTGACTACAAGATCAGGTCAGAGGCTGGGAATCCTGCAGCGAGTAACCCACCCCCTGCCTCCCCACAAAGCCCTGTCCCACCATCTCCAAGGCACAAGTCAGGAGTGGGATGGAATATTCCCCACTTGCCCCTGGATGGGGGCAGCTCCAACGACACTCAAGAAGCTCGACACCATCCAGGACAAAGCAGCCCCCGCTCAATTGGTACCACATCCACAAACATCCCACTCCCTCCCCCACCGACGCTCAGTCGCAGCAGTGTGTACCATCTATAAGATGCGCTTCAGAGATTCACCAAAGATCCTCAGGCAGCACCTTCCAAACCCACGGCCACTTCCACCTGGAAGGACAAGGGGCAGCAGATACATGGGAACACTAGCCCCCTGCAAGTTCCCCTCCACTCCCCATCCTGACTTGGGAACATATCGCCGTTCCTTCAGCGTCGCTGGGTCAGAATCCTGGAATTCCCTCCCTAAGGGGCATTGTGGAGCAACCCACAGCACATGGGGACTGCAGCGATTCAAGACGGCAGCTCACCCCCACCTTCTCAAGGGGGGCAATTAGGGACGGGGGCAATTGAAGCTGGGGAAGAGCCAGCGACACCCACGCCCCAGGAGTTAATAACAGTGCGGCAGCGATTTCCTGAGCATGTAGTTAGAGGCTGGAGGGTGAATCAGTGTCAAATCCAAACAGCGAGCGACAGCAACATTCAGTGAGAGACAGAGTGCGGAAGAGAGACGTGGAATGTTGGAATGACCTGTGTTTCTTTTTTGCCTGATTCCAGATAACCAGCAAAACGGTCAGAAGTGTTTCGGGTGTTTGCAAACGCTGAATGATCTTAAGTGCAACAAATCCGGGCAAATACAATGTAGGGGGACACAAACCAAGTGTGGAAGACTGGAATATGTTCTCACGAATGGTAGGTCACCACTTCCAGCTCTCAAAAACAACTGGGTGCATTGGTCTAGTCGCCGTTATGGGGCTAAATATCCCCGAGGCTCCTCACGAGAGAGGGGTATTGTGGGAAGGAATGCCGCAAACGCCAGAGAGGTGAGGGGGCGTAGGGGCTGGAGGGGGTTACAGAGATAGGGAGGGGTGTAGGGGCTGGAGGT